CTCTGGACTCATCAGAGTTGGTAGCCATCCACATGTGGATAGTAGCCCTCGCTCCAGGCACTAGCTGGTGCTCTCACCACAGCAGAAATTCCTTGGACAACTCCCTTCTCCCAGGGACAATGACCATTTGGTCTCCTTCAAATCTTTTGCTTTCAGTCCTTAAGTTGTTGTTTATCCATGAGGAGCCTTTAGTTCTTCTTACATCTTGCCTTGTAGGTGAGGAGCTCTGAGGTTCTTGAACATCAGAGGTGCAGGGAGCAGATCCTGCTTTCCACCCACCCACTTGGGGCAGTGCCCCCCACTCAGGAAGCAAAGCTTCCTGCCCAAAATGGTGCCATGAGCCATTCCTCACACCTTGAGCCCTCCTGCTTCACCCTGAGCATGTCACAGAGTCAGAGTGATGTGGGGTTGGAAGGCACCTCTGGAGATCCCCCATCCAACTCCCCAGAGCAGGATCCCTCCAGCAGGTCCCACAGGAACCTCCAGAGGGGCTGGGATGTCTCCAGAGAAGGAGCCTCCCTGGGCAGCCTGGCCCAGGGCTCTGCCACCCTCCCAGGCAACAAGTTCCTCCTCATGTTCAGCCTGACCCTCCTGTGCTCCAGCTGGTGCCCATGGCCCCTTGGCCTGTCCCTGGGCACTGCTGAGAAGAGACTGGTCCCCCCCTCCTGACCCCCCTGGAGATCCTGCTCAGCCTTGAGGAGACCCCCCCTCAGGCTCCTCCTCTCCAGCTGAGCAGCCCCATCCCTGGGGGTGTTGAAGGGCAGGTTGGATGGGGCTTGGAGCAGCCTGGGCTGCTGGGAGGTGTCCCTGCCCATGGCAGGCAGGGAACTGGATGGTCTTTAAGGTCCCTTCCCACCCAAACCAGTCAGGGTCTCCATGAATTGAAGCCTGTTTGCCAAGATCTGCTTTTCCTGCTCCCTCAACCACTGTTGGTTTTGCTCCCACCCATGACATCTCTATTTTACCCTCCCCTCCTTCTCTGTCAGAATTCTTCTGCCCTTCTTTTCAGCTTGGCAGCCACTTGTGGGGTTGGTTGGGACCTTCAGCATCTCTTCTGTTTTGTACCTCCTTGTTTCTGAGCCACGTTGGGTTGGCACATTGCTCTGGAGAGGACAACCACAACCAGTGGGTCCTTCAGCACAGCCACGCTGCTCCTGGGGCAGATTGTTGAGGTCCCAGGGAGCTGCTCTGCCTGGAGAACTTCTCTTTGCTCTTGTTTACCTCCCTGTTCGTTTCTGTCACGATTTCTTCAACTCTGAAGGACCAAAGGCAGAACTAGTCTCTGTGTGTCCCTACGTTCAGATGGTTTGGTCTCATATTCTCTCATTGGCATGTTTGTCAGGGCCTGGCCCAGGCTGCCCAGGGCAGGGGGGGAGTCCCCATCCCTGGGGGGGTTTCCAAGCCCTGGAGATGGTGCTGAGGGACACGGGGCAGGGGTGGCCTGGGCAGGGCTGGGGGAAGGGTTGGGCTGAAGGATCCTCAGGGTGTTTCCAGCCAGAATCATTCAGTGATCTGTGATTCTGTAATTAGCAAATGCCACCAATAAGGGGGGGGAGGGTTTGATGCTCTGTCATCTGCAGCACTGTCCCCCAGGCAGGCCCTGCAGATTCTGCTCCCACCCTCTTCCCCCCTGGAAAATTTTACTCTGTGTTTTCCCTCCATGAGATGTGAGGACATTCCCAGGAGAGCGTGTTCATGTTGCACCTCAGGAGCTTTGGAGGATTCATTCCATGTAGGAACAGGGGCAGGTTCCTCAGCAGGAGCTGAAGGTCCTTCCCCAGGGAGGGGAGCAGAGCCCTGCAGTGTCTCTGACCTGTGTTTTGGAACAGAGAATCATAGATTCATGGAAGGGTTTGGGTTGGAAGGGACCTTAAAGTCACCTAGACCTGAGCTCCCTGCCATGGGCAGGGACACCTCCCAGCAGCCCAGGTTGCTCCAAGCCCCATCACCTGCCCTTCAACACTGCCAGGGATGGGGCAGCCACAGCTTCCCTGGGCAACCTGGGCCAGGCTCTCCCCACCCTCACAGCACAGAATTTCTCCCTCCCATCTCAGCTCCAGCTCCCTCTGCCAGCTGGAAACCCTTCCCCCTGCTCCCATCCCTCCCTGCCCTTGTCCCAAGCCCCTCCCCAGCTTTCCTGGAGCCCCTTCAGGCCCTGGAAGCTGCTCTCAGCTCTCCCTGGAGCCTTCTCTTCTCCAGGCTGAACACCCCAACTCTCCCAGCCTGGCTCCAGAGCTGCTCCAGCCCTCCCAGCATCTCCGGGGCCTCCTCTGGGATGCTCCTCCAGTCCCTGTGGGATGTCCTGGCCCTCCTGCTGCCCCTCCTGCCACCCCTGCTGCCAGCAGAGCACCCAGACACCCGCTCCCTCCGCCAGCTCTATCGACAGCTGCCCCAAACCTGAAGGAACCCAAGACAAATTGTTAAGAGGAGGGAGTTAATAAAATTTGAAAAATTGAGGCCTGTCACTCTCCTAAACTTTTTCCGATCCCGCTGACGGGAACATATTTCCCCAATGAGTGCCCTCCTGCAGCTGCTGGTGCTGGTGCTGGAGCCACCTGCTATTTATCAAATATGATCAGCCAGGGCCTCCTAATGTGAGCAGGGAGGAGCAGGGGGAGGCGTCCGGCCCCACCGCCCGAGGTGCTGCCCAGGTGTCCATCTCCAGCTCCAGACAGCTTGTGGGAGGTGACAAATGACCTTCTATTAAGTCTCCCGGAAGGTTGAGGTCCCCTCTGCCCGCGTTCCAGGCAGCTGGAGGGGTGGGAGAGGGCAGGGAGGAGGTGGGGATGGGGAAGGGGGTCAGGCCGAGGAACCCCCCGTCACTTTTCCCTCCTATTAAGCAGCCCGAGCGCCGCGGTTATTTATGGCGGCGCGAGGGTTTTATTGCTGCCGGTGCTGGAGGTTGGAAATCGACCCGTCGGAGGAGTCGGGTTCTATCAATTATTGCAGCAATTAGTCAAGTCGTCAAAGCCATTAACAGGGGGATTAGGCCAATATTGGAGGGGCGTTATTGATAGATCCAGGGGAAGGGGGAAGAGCCAAACAAACCCTCCACCTGCCCGGGAGGTGAGCGCGGGAGATGAGCGCGTGTCTTGGAGAAGACACAGAACCAGCCCCCCCCCAGTTCCTCCCTGCACCAACTGGGGGTGGGTTTGGGCTGGGGGGGGGTCCAGGGGGGACCAGCAGCTCTTTAGAAGATATTGAGTGGCCGGCCCCAGCAGTTTATAATCTCACCTGTCTGGATCATACGCTTTGATTGGCCATGACAAGCTCTGCAACAGAAGCGGCTCCGCGGCCGATGTTTATGGAGCACATTTTTCATTCTGTAAGCAAATATAGATCCCCAATGCCAGGGCTGGGGAACAGCTCCTCTCCCTGGCTCCCCCCGTGCCGAGGCTCCTCTGCCTTCTTTCATCTAGTGTGATTTGCTGCTGCCTTTGATTGAGCCCTCCTGGTGCTCCCCTGCCTTCTACGAGCAGAAGCCACCGCCTGGTTTGCCCATGCCAAGGTGCCCCGTGGGATGGAGGAGGTTCCCTGAGGACCCCAGCTCCCTCCTGTCCTCCCAGTGGGATGGAGGATGTTCCCTGGGCCCCTGGGATGCTGTAGCAGTGCCCAGGTTCCCATTTTTCACACCATCAGCCTGTCCTGGTGAGGACACCAGCGATGAGCCAGCCCTGCTGAGCAGAGCCAGGCTGTGTCCTCACCAGCCTGCTCCTCAAGGCTTGGGATCTGCTGCAGCTTTGGAACCAGGAGGGTGGTCACCTCCAGCACCAGTTTTGAGGGGTTTGAGGCCAGTTTGAAGGTTCATGCTCATAACCAGTGGTGTCTGGTGAGCGGCAGCGAGTCAGAGTGCACCAACATCTGTGCTGGGTCTCTGCTGTAGAGATACCATCAAGTCCCAGACTGTTTTGGGTTGGAAGGGATCTGAAGATCATCTATATCCAACCCCTCCTGCCATGGGCAGGGACACCTCCCAGCAGCCCAGGCTGCTCCAAGCCCCATCCAACCTGCCCTTCAACACTGCCAGGGATGGGGCAGCCACAGCTTCCCTGGGCAACCTGGGCCAGGCTCTCCCCACCCTCACAGCCCAGAATTTCTCCCTCCCATCTCAGCTCCAGCTCCCTCTGCCAGCTGGAAACCCTTCCCCCTGCTCCCATCCCTCCCTGCCCTGGTCCCAAGCCCCTCCCCAGCTTTCCTGGAGCCCCTTCAGGCCCTGGAAGCTGCTCTCAGCTCTCCCTGGAGCCTTCTCTTCTCCAGGCTCAACACCCCAACTCTCAGCTCTATCTCCTGAGATACTGAGTCAGAGATCAATCCTGGGAGACCCTCCCTGCACCCCTGGCCATTTCCCTCTCTCCTGGTCTCAGACTGCCCTGTCCCAGATTACCAGATACTTCCCATCCCTGCAACTGGGGCCAGTTTGACTATGTATGTTGTTCCCCAGTGTGCCCAGGCCAGCAGGCCGGGCTCCCCCCACGGGAGCTGGTTTCTCCGAGGGTTTCTGGACTCCCTCACTTCACCCTTTGGGCTTTGGTGACTTCCCTTTTCTCAATGGAAGCCCAAAGCAGAGGGTGCCTGTCCCCAGGAGCCTCTCTGGTGGCCGAGGGTGGCAGCTGTGGAGCAGACCCAGCACCTCCAGCCTGGAGCAGCAGGGCCAGGGGGAGCGGGTCCAGGCGAAGCCGTAACGACCCCACTTGGCTCCCACAGGAGGGGGGGTGGGTGCTTTTGTGAGGTTCTTCTTTTCTTCTGGTCACCATGTGCTCTCATCCCCCCCAGCAGCTCTTCCCTGCCAGGCCAATTGTTTTTAGCAGTGACAATTCCCTTCCTTCCTCCCTGGCCACCCCCCTGTGTTGCACATTGTCCCTCTGAGCCAGACACCCTTCAGAGCCAAGGTTAGGAGAGGACACGGGGCAGGAGGGCAGGCACAAGTTGTGCTTCCTCCTCCTTCTGCCCCAAGACTCCTCTCTGATCCCCTCATCTTATTAATTTCTTCCTGCCTTCAGGTGCCAACCCCCTGCAGAAGAATGAGATGGGACACACACCCCTGGATTATGCCCGGGACGGGGAGGTCATGAGCCTCCTGAAAGCTTCAGAGGCCAAGGTGAGCCTGGGGTCTGGGTGGCTTTGTCTTTCCTTTTCCACTGCAAGAACAGGGTTAAAGAAGACCTGGAGGGTGGAGGAGCCCCTCAGCTCACCTGCTTTTCAGAAGAGGTCTGTGTCAGTCAACAGCACGATAAAGGGGAGAAACAAATCACTTCTGGGCTCCTTTTAGCTGCGTCCCTGGCTCTGTCCCCTCCTCTTCCCTGGGGTCATTTCCTCCTCAGCAGTGACCTGCCCAGGACCAGGAATTCTCTTCTGTACCTGGCAAAAAATATGGGAAAATCAGGGTTGTTACAGAACCACAGAATCAGTCTGGTTGGAAAAGACCTTTCAGGTCGTCGAATCTCACCATAACCCAACTCTGCCAACCATGAACCCAACCCTGCCAAGTCCAGTGCTCACACCACATCCCTGGTCTTTAACTGTGTTTTCTGGAATCCCTGGAAGAAGCAGGTGTGGGAATGGGGAGCCCAGGCAGGGGGTTCCTGGGGTTCATGCTCCGTGTGTTCACGAGCCCCAGGCTAAGGCAGGAGACACCAATCTCTGCTCTCTGGCTCTGGAATGTTCCTCTCATCCCTCCAGCCTCCCTGTGTCTTCAAGTGGGCTGGAGAGCATCGTGTCCCCGTGGTGGATCCTGGTTAGAGGGTGTTTTAGAGAGTGTTTTATAGGGAGGGTTTTTAATGAAGTGATTCTGGAGTGTTTGAGACCCATGTTTGTTGTTGTTCCAGGAAAACCCACAGGACTAAGTAGGTTCACAGGATATTGGGCAGTTTGGGATCTGCAGCCCAGTGTCAGGGGGTTCAGATTCCTGGCTCTGAGCCTTGTTTGAGTAGGACTTGATAATTGTCAGTCCTCTTGGGCATCATCTCTCCAAAAATCCCAGCTCAGGGAGGGTGGGAAGGTCTCCCTGCTGCCCCAGATTAGAAAAGCAGAGGTGGAGGAGGCTGGGTTTGCTCCTGGTTGCAGACCTGTCCTCTGGCACAGTGGGTTTATTTGGAATTGGAAGGTTTGGAATTTGGATTTGTGTGCTGGACACCTGAGGTGGAGAACTTGCCCCAGTGTGGGAGATGGAAGTGATGAAAACTGAATTTTCCTGCATGCAGGAGGTGTTGGGGTGAGATCAGCCTGCCAGGCAGGCAGAGCTGCTGTCCTGTCTGTGTCCACCTTGGAACATCCCTGCTTGAGCAGGAGCTCAAAGCCACATTCCCAGATACTCCACCTTCCTCCCAAGCAGGGGGACCAGGATCTCCCCTCTTGGATTTTCCATCACAGCAAAGGAAACCCTGGCTGGGAAACTCAGAGTGACAGAGTGGTGGGGTTGGAAGGAACCTCTGGAGATACCCCATCCAACCCCCCAGAGCAGGATCCCTCCAGCAGGTCCCACAGGAACCTCCAGAGGGGCTGGGATGTCTCCAGAGAAGGAGCCTCCACAGCCTCTCTGGGCAGCCTGGCCCAGGGCTCTGCCACCCTCCCAGGCAACAAGTTCCTCCTCATGTTCAGCCTGACCCTCCTGTGCTCCAGCTGGTGCCCACCTCGTGGTCCCTTGGACAACTCTCCCAAGTCTGAAGGAAGAAAAGTTGAGGACAAAAACCACTTGAAATCTTGACAAGAAGAAGGAGGGAGGGGAATTATCTGCTGGGTAAATGGTCCCTGGAGTCCAACCCTGGTGAGGAGACCTGCCCCCAGCAGCTGGGAAAAGCTCTGCTTGGCTTTTTTTATGCTTAACTAATAGATGGAGGAGAGGAAGGAAATAGATCTGGAGACACGTTCCCCGTGAAGATGATTGTGCTTGTATATAAAACATCAGGCAGGCAGGGCAGAGAGTGATGAATATTCAGCTGGGGGGGAAATGGTGCTTCTGGGGTTGCATCCACCCCAGTCCCCAGGATCCTCTGAGAGTCTTTGAGAATTTATTGCTCCTTTTAATCACTGCTGGGGAATGAATTGGCAGCACTAGGACTGGGTGGGCACGGCCCATAGATTTTATTTACATACCCCGGTGACAGAATAACAAGGAGTTTTCATATGTATTTTTAATTTATTTTGATTTCCTTTCTTCTTTTCACAAAACAAACCCCCCCAAAAAAAAAAAGAAGAGCACAGGCAAAAGGCCCCGGGGTGGTTTGGGTGGGTGGGATCACAGGGGGCTGAGGGTGCCTGAGCTGCTTTGTGGGGCTGAGCAGGCTGCTGAGATTTGGCCAAGCTGGCCTGTCTGTGGAGCTGGGAGGAGGGCAGAGACCCTCAAAACTGGTGGCTCTGCTGTGGAACTGGAAGAGAAGCAGCCCCAGGATTGATCTCAGCTCTTCCCCATCTTTGCTGTTCAGCTCCTCCTTCCCCCAGTGCACTGGGCCCAGTTGTAGAATCTCAGAATGGTTTGGATGGGAAAGGAACTTAAAGGACATCTAGATCCAACCCCCCTGCATGGGCAGGGACACCTCCCAGCAGCCCAGGCTGCTCCAAGCCCCATCCAACCTGCCCTTCAACACCCCCAGGGATGGGGCAGCCACAGCTTCCCTGGGCAACCTGGGCCAGGCTCTCCCCACCCTCACAGCCCAGAATTTCTCCCTCCCATCTCAGCTCCAGCTCCCTCTGCCAGCTGGAAACCCTTCCCCCTGCTCCCATCCCTCCCTGCCCTTGTCCCAAGCCCCTCCCCAGCTTTCCTGGAGCCCCTTCAGGCCCTGGAAGCTGCTCTCAGCTCTCCCTGGAGCCTTCTCTTCTCCAGGCTGAACACCCCAACTCTCCCAGCCTGGCTCCAGAGCTGCTCCAGCCCTCCCAGCATCTCCGGGGCCTCCTCTGGACTCTCCAACAGCTCCATCTCCTTACATTGGGGCCTCCAGAACTGGACACAGTTCTCCAGGTGGGGTCTCACCACAGCCGAGTAGAGGGGGAGTCACATCCATGCAGTGGTCTCTCCATGGCTGTGGCAGGATTTGAAGGACTGTTCCAGCAGTGAGTTGCCCTTTTTCAAGCTCTCTTTTCTGCCAAGCAGCAGTGGGAGCATCTCCTGAGCTGGAGCTCTGCCCTTGGTCACACTGAACCACCTTTGATGGACCTTGGAAAGAAAACAAACATCCAACCATGGCTCATGCACAGCCTGTTTTTTCCATCCAGCACCTCCTCAGGTTGTTGCTTTAAGCATATTTTATGGGAAAAATGTCTCTTTTGGTTGTTTGAGGAGTGTCTGTTCATGACCCCACACACAGCCCTGGGTGCAGAGGCAGGACAGGGCTGATTTTATGCTGCTGATTGTCCTGTGGAGAAACTGCTCCCCAGATCTCCAAAGGCCACAGCTTCATGTCCCTGACATGTCCTCCAGTCCATTATTTCTCCTTGTGTTCTGGAGCCCCCAACATGGAGCTGTTGGAGAGAGGCCAGAGGAGGCCCTGGAGATGCTGGGAGGGCTGGAGCAGCTCTGGAGCCAGGCAGGAAGAGTTGGGGTGTTGAGCCTGGAGAAGAGAAGGCTCCAGGGAGAGCTGAGAGCAGCTTCCAGTGCCTGAAGGGGCTCCAGGAAAGCTGGGGAGGGGCTTGGGACAAGGGCAGGGAGGGATGGGAGCAGGGGGAAGGGTTTCCAGCTGGCAGAGGGAGCTGGAGCTGAGATGGGAGGGAGAAATTCTGGGCTGTGAGGGTGGGGAGAGCCTGGCCCAGGTTGCCCAGGGAAGCTGTGGCTGCCCCATCCCTGGGGGTGTTGAAGGGCAGGTTGGATGGGGCTTGGAGCAGCCTGGGCTGCTGGGAGGTATCCCTGCCCATGCAGGGGTGGGACTGGGTGGGCTCTGAGGTCCCTTCCCACCCAAACCAGGCTGGGATTCTCTCGATGACCTTGTGTGGGATGTGAACTACTCCAGGCGTTATCTCCTCCTGCAGCTCCAGAATGATCCCAGAGAAGCAGTGAGTCAGTGGCACTCACAGGGTTCCTGGTGAGCTGAAGGGGGAGAGAAGCAAATCTGAGGAAAGAGCTTTTTCCAGTCCCATCCTGTGTGGGTGTGTTGGCCCAACGCTGCTGTCTGACCTGCCCAGTGGACACAGCGACACTTCCATCCCCGTGGAATGATGCTGGATGTGTGGAGGGTGGGAAAACAAATCCAAGCAGGAGAGCCCAGGCTTTGTCAGCAGCAGCAGGCTGAGCCTGGGCTGAGAGCCCAGCAGGCAGACTGGGCAGGGCTGGTGTTCCCTCTGTCTCCTTTCTCCCATCCCCCTGCACCCCAGACCCATCCCAGCAGATCCGCACGTTCCCTCTTCCTTGGGATGCTGCTCCCAAAGCTGCATCTGAGTGTCAGACCCAAGGGCTTGGCCAGCCCTGGGAGGAGATGAAGGACCTTGTGGTCATCTGGTTGCTCCCAAGGGTCTGGTTCCCAAGGTTTCCTTCCCCCCCTGCAGTTCCAGGAGGAGCAGCGCCAGCGGGAGCTGCAGGAGCGGCGCCGCTTCCCGCTGGAGCAGCGGCTGAAGGAGCAGATCATCGGGCAGGAGAGCGCCATCGCCACCGTGGGAGCAGGTAGGGCCTGCCTGCCCCTCTGCCCGCAGCCACGGAGGCACTGGGGGCTGGAAAAGGCCTTTCAGGTCCTCCAGTCCAACCCTTCCCCCAGCCCTGCCCAGGCCACCCCTGCCCCGTGTCCCTCAGCACCATCTCCAGGGCTTGGAAACCCCTCCAGGGATGGGGACTCCCCCCCTGCCCTGGGCAGCCTGGGCCAGGCCCTGACAACCCTTGCCAGGGAGAAATTGTTCCCCAGATCCAACCTCAACCTCCCCTGGCACAACTTGAGGCCGTTCCCTCTTGTCCTGTCGCTTGTTCCTGGGGAGCAGAGCCCGACCCCCCTGGCTCCAACCTCCTCTCAGCAGCTGCAGAGCCAGCAGGTCTCCCCTCAGCCTCCTTTGCTCCAGGCTGGACACCCCCAGCTCCCTCAGCTATTTCTCTTAAGACTTGTGCTCCATCCCCTTCATAGAATCATGGAATCCCAGACTGGTTTGGGTTAGAAGGGACCTCAAACCCACCCAGACCCACCCTGCATGGGCAGGGACACCTCCCAGCAGCCCAGGCTGCTCCAAGCCCCATCCAACCTGCCCTTCAACACTGCCAGGGATGGGGCAGCCACAGCTTCCCTGGGCAACCTGGGCCAGGCTCTCCCCACCCTCACAGCCCAGAATTTCTCCCTCCCATCTCAGCTCCAGCTCCCTCTGCCAGCTGGAAACCCTTCCCCCTGCTCCCATCCCTCCCTGCCCTTGTCCCAAGTCCCTCCCCAGCCTTCCCAGCCCTCCCATCTTTCCCCAGCTCAGTTGCCCTTCCCTGCACATGCTCCAGCAACCTCTCCTGCTCCAGGGGGAACACGAGTCGTTCCCTCAAGCCCTGATCCAGGGCTCCCTCTGGCAGGTCCCCAAGGTTGGTGGTAGAATCATAGAATCATGGAATGGTTAGAGTTGGAAGGGACCTTAAAGGTCATGGAGCTCCAGCTCTCATGGTGAGGTCCAGCAGGTGTTTCTGGGCTGTGTCTCCCAGGAGGGGCTGTGTCAGGTGCAGCAGCACAGAGGACCACCCAGTGCCCTCTCCCAGGCTCTGCATGAGGTGCCTACAAGCCCTTCAAGTCAGAATTATTCCTCTCTAGACTAAACCTCTTGGCTTGAAGGTCAGAGCTGGTCACCCAGAGTTCAGTCCTCAGCTGAACGTGGTGACACTTGAACATGGAGCTCTCAGCTTACGAGACCGTTCATCTTCAGCACATCCCTGCTGAATAATTCAGAGCAGATTCCTGCAGCTCTGTGCACGGGAGCCCCTCACCCACGGGCTGCTCTGGGGGTTGGTTTCTGCATCCCTTACAGGTCTGGGGGGCTTTGTTCCATGGTGAGATTCAAGCAGGTGCTTCAGCCACACTTTCCTGGCCACAAGTGGTCCCTCAGCTCAAAGGCCAGTGGCCTGTGACTGGTACCAGAGCATCTGAAGCAAGATAGTGGTGAGAGGACAAGGGGGAATGGATTCAAACTGGAAGAGGGGAGATTTAGGTTGGACATCAAGAGGAAATTCTGGGCTGTGAGGGTGGGGAGAGCCTGGCCCAGGTTGCCCAGGGAAGCTGTGGCTGCCCCATCCCTGGGGGTGTTGAAGGGCAGGTTGGATGGGGCTTGGAGCAGCCTGGGCTGCTGGGGGGTGTCCCTGCCCATGCAGGGGTGGGACTGGGTGATCTTGAAGGTCCCATCCAACCAAAACCAGTCCAGGACTCTGTGATCTCTAAGGTACTTGCCTCCAAGTTCTTCCATCCCCCCCTTCCTGGATGTCTTGCCATTCACCCCTGCAGAGAACAGTAAACCCTTTGGGCAGCAGCACATCCCTGGGACATTCCCATTCCCAGCTGTATCCATGACCTTGTAGAGGCACAGGTGGACACCACCCCCTGTTGCTACACCCAGAAACAGGGTTCACCCCTGAGAGGCTGTTGCCTTTCCCAGGCTGATTCCCTTCCTTCCTGCCCGGGAAGCTGCAGCGCTGCCCTCCCTGGGGAGCTGGGAAGCCCTGAGGTGGTTCCTGGGAGTCCTTTACAAACAGGGGGAGCCTGAAACGTTTCCTTAGCTGGAGCATTTCAGTAGTTGGGATATTTGTTTAGCTGGTTGGTTTGTTTTCCTTCTCTGAGGCTGCTGAAGCCCCTCATCCCTCCCCCCCCACCCCAGACCCGCTGCCTTTTTCTCCAAGTCTTTTTCCCACACTTGGAATTCCAATTTGACAAAAAAAAAAACAAACAACCCCAACCCTAAATTAACTAAACCCAGGGAATAAATGAGGAGCCTGGCCTCTTGTGGCTGTGATGGAAGTGCACAAGCAGCAGGGCTGGAGGAAAAGGGGCTGGTTTGCTCAGGCCAGGGCATGGAGTTGGGGGAAAAAGAGAACCAGGGCAGCTTTGAGACCCTTGGGGCCTGAGCAGGAGCCACAGATTCCAGCTGAGCACAGGGAGTTGCTCCCAAATCACTCCCTGCTGTTAAGCAGTGGTGAGAGGAAAGGGTGTCAGGGTGGAGCAGGGGGGAGGACAGTGTCTGCCCAGCAAATGGGGACCTGTCCCTGCTCATCGGGCTTGGCTGGTGGTTGGTGCAGCCACCTTGGCAGCAGCACCCGCTCCCTCCTCTGCTCCATCATCTGCTCCATCATCTGCTCCATCATCTGCTCCATCATTTGCTCCCAGCCTCCCATCTTCCCTAAGAGAAAAGGGGGGACAGTCTCAGTTGTTTGTTTTCCCTTGGGACAACCTCAGAACTCAGGAGCAGTTGGTTTGATGCTGGACACTAAAACCAGCGTGAGGAACCGACTGGGCTGGGCTCGTTTCCCAGTCCCGAACCTCTGGATCCTGTTGCTACTTCCTCAAACCCATTCCTGGATCCCAGTTCAAATGGGACAGCGCTGGGAAAACCGGGCTGAAGTGCCAGCAAGTCCGAGAGCCCCGGGTGGGAGGAGAGGTTGGTTAACAAAGAGGAGCAGTGGGAAGAGCCGCAGACCCAGCGCGGCCCCCCTGCCCGGCGGCAGCGCCCGCTAATTGGGAGGCTTTGATTAATGGGCAGCGCCTGTTCCCGACACAGGTGGTGCTGCCGCGCATTAAAGCGCCTGCTTTTATGGAGGTTTCTCTTATTGAATTATCGGGAATGTGCTTGATACCCCCGCAGCCTCGGGATATCAGAGCACAGGGAGCGGGAGAGTCTGCGGCTCCTCCTCCCGCTGCTGCCCCTGCCCGGCCGGGCTGCTGCCCTCGGGAGGGGAGAACGGGCAGACCTGCCCTCCTTCCTTCTCCCCTTCCCTCCTTCCTTCTCCCCTTTCTTCTGCCCTTCTCCCCTTCTCTCCTTCCTTCTCCCCTTCCCTCCTTCCTTCTCCCCTTTCTTCTGCCCTTCTCCCCTTCTCTCCTTCCTTCTCCCCTTCCCTCCTTCCTTCTCCCCTTTCTTCTGCCCTTCTCCCCTTCTCTCCTTCCTTCTCCCCTTCCCTCCTTCCTTCTCCCCTTTCTTCTGCCCTTCTCCCCTTCTCTCCTTCCTTCTCCCCTTCCCTCCTTCCTTCTCCCCTTTCTTCTGCCCTTCTCCCCTTCTCTCCTTCCTTCTCCCCTTCCCTCCTTCCTTCTCCCCTTTCTTCTGCCCTTCTCCCCTTCTCTCCTTCCTTCTCCCCTTCCTTCTGCCCTTCCCTCCTTCCCTCCTTCCTTCTCTCCTTCCCTCCTTCCTTCTCTCCTTCCTTCTCCCCTTCCCTCCTTCCTTCTCCCCTTCCCTTTTCCCCTTCCTTTTCCCCTTCTCTCCTTCCCTCGTTCCTTCTCTCCTTCCTTCTGCCCTTCTCTCCTTCCTTCTGCCCTTCTTCTCTTCCCTTCTTCCCTTCCTTTTCCCCTTCTCTCCTTCCTTCTCCCCTTCTCCCCTTCCCTCTCCCCTTCCTTCTTTCTCCCCTTCCCTTCCTTCCCTCTTCCCAGCACTTCCTCTCTGCCACTGCTGCTCCTTCATCCCCAGCTGGCTGTCCTGCTTTCCCACGTGCCTCCCATTCCCTGCTCCCCGGAGCAAAGTGGCCTCCAGCTTTGCCAGCTGATCAGGCTCATTTAGAACTGCTGCCTTAATTGAATAATCCCATTGGATCCATCACTGGGGCAGGACCCAAACAGTCTCCAGGGGGGTTTGGCCTGGGAATACAAAGGGAATGTGCACGGGGGGGTTGGGCCACACAGCCCCAGGTGTGGGGGATGCTCAGGGGGCTGCCAGGAGGAGGATTGCAGGGAGCAGAGGGAAGAATCCCTTCTCCAGGGTTTCCATGGGATCTATCCCAGCCCTGCTGCTCCCCTTGAAGCAGGACAGGTGGGAAGGCAGGTGATGATGGACCCATTGCAGTGGGACATCTGAGGTGGGAGCAGCTCTGGAGCCAGGCTGGGAGAGTTGGGGTGTCCAGCCTGGAGAAGAGAAGGCTCCAGGGAGAGCTGAGAGCAGCTTCCAGTGCCTGAAGGGGCTCCAGGAAAGCTGGGGAGGGGCTTGGGACAAGGGCAGGGAGGGATGGGAGCAGGGGGAAGGGTTTCCAGCTGGCAGAGGGAGCTGGAGCTGAGATGGGAGGGAGAAATTCTGGGCTGTGAGGGTGGGGAGAGCCTGGCCCAGGTTGCCCAGGGAAGCTGTGGCTGCCCCATCCCTGGGGGTGTTGAAGGGCAGGTTGGATGGGGCTTGGAGCAGCCTGGGCTGCTGGGAGGTGTCCCTGCCCATGCAGGGGGTTGGATCTAGATAACTTTAAGGTCCCTTCCAACCCAAACCCCTCCATGATTCTGTGGCTCAGACCTTGCAGCACTTGTCGTTGCCTGCAAGTCAGGCCTGACTCTGCAAGGAAGCATCTTTGGTCTTGAGGTTCATCTTCTCCCACATCCCAGAGCTGGCCATGGTGGGGCTGGATGGGTGGTTCTTTGGGACTGTGGGATGATGGAGGCAGAGCCTGGAGGGAGGAGAGTGATCCCATGGTGGGCACAGACCTGGAGCATCAACCCCGTGGCACCCCGGGCCCGGGCGGCCCGAGAAACGCCGCCG